TGCCCGAGACCTCTGCAATACATCGCAATATGCGTTTTTGGGCAATGAGAACATCTTGCGCCATGCTTGAGCGGGGCCCATGAGACTCCTCGAAGGACACGAAATTGTAGCGATGCAAGGAGGTGGAAGGAAGGGTCTAAAGGATTTTTCAGTAAAAGAACTTCTAACCGTGAGGTGTCAAGTTATACGCTATTTGAGCTCATGTGTAGAAATCTTGGGTGAGTCCATTTAAAAGTTTTTGTATTATTTTTCTGAAATTCAGGACCAGGGTTAACTTCTTCCCCATGTACATTTTCTCGATTATACATTTTATTTAATATCTCCTAATTCTCATGAAAAGTGGCAACGTCGCTTCGTTCATCACGGTCGACTGCGGATCGCAAACGATAGTTGTAACAGAACTAGAAATCTGGGCGGAAAAAGGGTATTGTGCCCCAAATCTATTTTGATCCTAATAATATTTACAATAGTGCTATTTGGTACTATACCTGAAGTTTTTTTAGTGTTTAAAATATATGCACTTATTTCAAAATCAGCCTGTTTATCAGATATTTATTGTTCGTGCAAGTATGATTTTTGTTTTGTTCGCTCCTAAAAACACTAATTCAATGAACTCATTCTGATATTCTCAAATCGCGCAGAATGTTTTTTTCTTCAAACACCTACATTGTATGAGTTTCGAAAAGAAAACGAAAAAAAACTTCGGAATGGATCAATTCAACTGTGGGAAGATCACTTTGGATTTTCTAATCTTTTTTCCTGAAGATGATTACAACCCTTTCCCCAGTATTTTCGTGCGCAATTTGCAATCAGAAAATCAAAGTGAACTCACTACCTGCCGCGCTGAGTCACGGATAAAACGACTGGTTTTTATTTACTTTAAAATATCGTACCTTGATGGTTGACGACAAGCGATAGATACTTCATTGTGTGATTATCCTCAAAAAAACAAAAGCTCGTGAAATTAAAATTGATCTTTCCACAAGTGGGTCGGTCAATTTTCCAATTGTGCGATACACTTCACCTCATTCGTATAATAATATATGGGCTTATGTAAGAAATTCTCATTCCTTCGTGGACAGGAAACTACTGGATATATTTTATTCCTCACATGTATCAACAAAACCACACAAAACGATGCACGCACACTGAGCACCGGAAAACAGCACGTATTCACAAATCATACACTCAGGAATATGCAGCCATAAACACAGATGAATGTCCAATTATAGCTAAACCTAAAAGACTCTGCAGCATGAATCAATCGTATCTGATACGCAGCCCGGTAATGAAGAAGAAGAGGAAAGGAATGCTACAATATGTCACAAGTTGTGAATAGCTACCTACTTGGAGTTCTACGATGGCTGTTCATGAAATTCGTTTTTCGAGATGCCTCATTAGCCTTTCATATGACGGGAATTCATCGTTCCTTCCATGAACAAATTCGTCTACCAGGTATCACAGCGACTGCCAAAATAGCTGGCAATTCCTCTCACTCAGCTGCCAACTACCCTCAAGAGACATGCCAATACTAGGAGTCAGGATATTTCCAAGCCCAAAGAATTCCTACACCAAAGTACCAGTCCAGAACGAAAGATGCCCAATAATCTCCAAAGACCAAAAAGATTGCACTCTTATGCCCAGGACAAGGATATCATCCGAGCCCAGAAAGGATTCTGTGAAAATTTCCACGACGATTGAAGGATGCCATGAACATCAGTCGTCATTCCTTACCACAAGAAGCTAGCAGTTTCATTCGTTGAGCTGCCAACTACTTCGAAGGACAGTCTAGGAAATCTAGAGTCTGAAAAATGTCACCATTATGCCCAGGACGAGGATACCTTCGAGCCCAAAAGGATCCTGCCGAACTTCCAAACACAATTGGAGGATGCCATGTCCAATCGTCATTCCCTTTTCTCCAACAACCAGAAGTGTCAATAAAGAAGGTCTGATCAGGATGCTTCAGTTGAATAGCCAGTGCCAGACTGAGTAGAAATGCGGATGTGCATTGTGGACACTGAACTTCCGAGCGTGTGAACTCAATTTCCAAGGTATAATGTTTCCTGTCATTGATGTATTCAGGGTATATGTTCTCTTCGATATCATAAGGTAGGTTGTGATCTTGGAAGTGGAGTCCTGTTTTCTCAGAGAAAATGGTCATGTCATGTAGAACACAGTATATTATTAATTCCGACCCATGAAGATTTCATAAACATAAGTTGATCAAATCATCCGTTGACATTGAACTATGAAAACCGACGAATGGACTCTTATGAGAAAAAAGAAAAAACAATGAAAATCCCAAAGTCTGTCGACCACAAAATCATTTAATAAGCGACGTGTTACTAGTTTCGGCCACAGGCCATCATCAGACACAAAAATGATGTTTATATGAGTACCTAAAATATAATGATAGACAATGTTATGGGGTAAAAAGAGTCATACAATCATGTACTAACCTTATAACATATTGAGAAAATTATTAAAATTGAAAAGCTAAGTCCAAAAAATTCAGTTGACAGTCCAGCATATTCAAGTGATTTTTAATCTGGAGAATGTCCAGTAAAACCAAATTAAAATTGGGTTATTGGCGAAGTACATCAGAAACTAATTATTCCAAAAATTCTCTCACGTGAGATTCATCAAGAAATGCGGAAACCAAATGGAAGCTGAGATAGAATTCAAGGGACCAGAAACATCATAAATCACAAGGAAATAAATAATCAAAGAATGAGTGACACATGTCAAAGTCAACCGGAACTGACATGAAACTAATAACTGAGGTGGTGACACAGAATATGACACCGACAAGTGACGTCAATATGATAAATTAATTAACAATAACCAAAACAAAATCAAAATTTGAAACAATGAGACCAAGAGATTGGGAGAAGAATAACAGTAGATCAATCTGGGTTATGTTGATCATTGAAATTTCATAGTACGAAAAATGAGGTTACGTTCAAAGTTGGTTTGATCATTAAGACATGTGAAATTGGGATTGTTTATACATTTTTGAATTTCTAGCATTTCCAATAGGTTCAACCTGGAGCCTTTATTACAAATGTGAAGGAATTCCATGTTGTCAGATATATTGAAATTATGGTTAGATTCAATTATATGGTTTGCGAAGGAGTAACTAGTGTTTAAATTATTGATGTTCCTATTCCTCCTAATCGCTCTATTATGTTCAGAGGCTCTAGTTTCAAAACTCCGCCCAGTTTGACCAACATAAGAGGAGTTGCAGTCATTGCAATTAAGTTTGTAAACTCCGGATTTTTTAGAAGTAGGGATTTTGTCTTTAGTGTTCACTAATAAGGTTTTGAGGTTGGAGTTAGTTTTAAAAGAAATATTGAAATTGAAACTTGAAAACAGTTTTTTCAATTGTATTGAGTGCATGTCAAAGTAATGTAAAGATTTAAACAATGGTAATTCTGTCTCTTGTGCTGTTTGAAAAAATTTAAAATAAATTTTCATAATTGGATCTAGAGAGAATTGATTATTGATGGCAATTTGTTTAATTATATTAATTTCACTATTAAAAGCTGAATCAGACAGTGGCAAAAAAAAGGCTCTATGAAAAAAGCAATCTTATGAGAAACGTGCAAGACTAATGAAATGATGTATATGAATATTAGATGTGAGTGTTCCGAAGTTAGTCTGGTCTGGACATCGACTCTTCATCAGCCTGTACGACTGAGTAACCTCTGAGTCAGGTAATTCTGGGTTCGTTGCTACCAAGAATAACCTGAACTATTGAACTACTCGATATTTCAGATGAATTAAGATTCGTGGATATTCAAGAAAAAGTTGATCATCGATTATCAGGTATTTACTGTTAGTCGTGGACACTATCGATAAGTTCAGTGGGGTATCGCGTTAATTAGTCAGTTAGGTCTTTTCTCGTTTTATTAGAAAATTCACTTCGAAATGGCTCCTTTCTTATTGTGGGTACTATTGGATCATTTCATATATTGTATACCATATTCATGATGATCCTTCTTTATATAAAGATGATACCCCTCAACTGTATGATCTACCCTATATAAGTTATCCCTAAAGATGATTTAGTGGTCTTTTTCATATGTTCTCGTTCCCATAAGAAGGGATATCCTGTAATGATCAAAGAACATCGTCAGAAACGAGGGAAATATGATAGAAATTGGTGTTCTTGGATTTCCGGAGGTTTTATGCCTCGGGCAAAACCTTCCTTGACAATGTATTCCAGAGCCTTGCTGTTCACTCCACACCACGAATGGGAGCGAAATCTCAACTCGAAGAATTTATCTCGGAGGGGGCTGCCAAGAAAGGAACAATTGTTCATATTTCAGAAGAGCATCGACCATGAGAATATCTATAAAATTGGGCCAGATCGCCAACTTTTCCACGGTGTTCCATCAGGAAGACTAGAAACATAACAGTATCATTTATCCCAACCTTATTTCTGTTTTTGTCTATACGAAAAGTGTCTAAAGAGTTATACAATGAGTTTCCACTTATATCTGAAATGAGTGACAGATGAGAGATTGAATTTTCAATAGTACAGGAAAATACGTGTAATTATGAATATCAATAATTCAAGGAAATTAATTTCCTAGGTAACCATTTATGAGAGCCAATAGAAGAACATTGTTGAATGTGAATAGTGCATTTTCAAGCAAAACCTCGGAGCACAATCATAACATCAATCCCTCAAATTATTATGTAATATCCTTGTGAGCAAATGGAGATGGCATATCATCATTATTATATATGAGTATTTTATTGAAATGACTTACATTCATGAGCAACTTGAGATCGAAATCTGATGATATACCAGATCTTGTAAATGATATGGGTTCCATGTTATTCTTCAGGAACATGAGATACGCTTTCCGATTCTTGATATTCCAGTTGAACCAAGAACATTCCAGAGCATTGTAATAAACATTTTCGGACTGAAAAATATTCACGGTTTAAATTTCGAGAGCTCGATATTTCTTCAGATAATTTACTCTAAACTATAACTGAAAGTTGTAGATATTCTCATGTGGACTATTTAGTTTCCTCCCAGTTTGTGTGATGATAACATCCTCATGCTGTCAAACCAATTGACTGAATAGAAAATATAAGTCAACCCATTTCTCTTCGTAATATTTGAATTGAAACCGCTTTTGATGAGGTGTTGAAACTGAGAATCCTTCTTGAGAACATATCCTCATAATATTATGCTCGTTTAGTTCATCCATTGAAGCGCCATTGCTGTTTCAGATGATTGAAGGTACTACAGAAACCCAACTCGGTTTTTTTGAGTTTGCGTAAAAGTGAAAAACGTCTAATCTGCTCAAAAATTGAAACGTAACGATGCATAATTTCACTATTATTCAATACTGAATAACTCCCGAAGGCCACAGCCGAATCATATTTTATATAAAGTTCATTGACGATTATTTCATTGGGTATCAAGGTATCATAATCGATTTCTGTGACTGAGTTATGACAGGGTGATTGATGTAAGTTCAATCTTATGTAGGATTCTATACATTTTTCTAAGTGATTACACATAAACCCAGGATGGTTTTTAAGGATTGAAGGCTGATGATGGAAATATGACTGCTCAAAACATGTTTACTGAAAAATCTCCGATTATTGAACTTTGCGAATTATGTCTTTTTCAAACACATTTAATGTGAGTTTGCCAAATTGCTTCGATGTGGAAGGTCTCTAGATTGGGAAATACATTGTTTTTAATAATAATAACACCAGAACGCTATCGATCAGAGAGTTTCCTTGGAATAAATTCGTTATTTTTCATATAGTTTCTGTTGATACCGTAATACGATTTTTTTCCAAAACCGTGCAGATTTTGGTGTACTCATCTATATGACGTGAGACTGAAGAAATTTTCTTTATCAGCGACCTCTCAGGATTCGAATAGCAAACCTGAATTCGGAGTCGCACATGTTTATGTCATTATTGGAAATTCACTTTCAACTCAGATTGTTTTAGAATGGAATGAATATCATCATCGCCAGACAGTTTTCATGTTCAGTTCACTTAGTGTTAACTGGTTGATGATTTTTATGAACTCGTTGATTTCATAACTGACATTAGTATTTTTCCAATTTTGAGATGTGATTCCAGAATCATTTTAGATACTGAGTGAAAAATCGACGAGAATACGATGAACATTTATTTCTTCCTACATTCACAGGACTATTCACGGATTGAGTGTTATAGGTACGTTATCTCTGCATGCAAAAAATTTCGTTGGTGAACTTCCCACCCAATATCCCATCAGAATATGAAATGTGTTGAGGATTTGAATGATGTTCTTTCGTCAGAATTCCATTCGAGTCTTCTCAATCATTGTTTTCTTGAACAAATTTGTCGACAATTCAATATTTGTCGGACCCCCTGTTGCTAGGGAATGAGATTCGAAAGAATAGCTCCACATTCTTTCAAAACTGTATTCATTGAATCATACAAATTATCCACCCCACCCTTTCTTCCATTTGACTTCAATCTCATTCTTGTGATGAACCAGAAAAATGTTTTTCTTGAAAATTATCAATCACACCCAAGATGCCATTGATGAATGAATAAATAATAAATAATAGTCACCTCATCAATAGTACGTTGTCCATATGAAGAAAAAACGAAACAAAAAATGACCAAGGGAACTGATATCAACGATATTCTAATGTTGCTCTCAGGCTGTATTCTCTGAAAAATAAAGATAATTATCAAAAACAGTTATCAATGGCATTCAATTCATAGAACTTACGAATATAATGAATGTTGTGACACAAAGGAATATTTGAATAGCTGTTAAAGGGAATGCAATTGTTGCGAAGTCTGCTACACCAAGTGACATTCTGAAGAACCTATAAAAAAATATCACATTTTATAAATAATGAACAAAAGGTGAATAATAGTTATTGATTCATCGAGGGCGTAACTTTTATGGATCGTTGCGTGTGAGTGAGAGAGTTAGTGTTAGCGCGGACTGATAACATGCCAATTGCCTATGCCCATTTGAGCGAGTTACGCCATGAATCCATTCAACATCTCATGCCCTACCAGTATATTCGGTTTTTCATTATGGATATCTTTTAACTCCTCTAGCATGATGAAACTTTATCATGGTGGCTGTAAGGAATGATATTATGATATGTTGATATGATTAATTTGGCGGATTTTATTTCACAGGAAACTCATCATAATGAAAATAATAATAATAGTATGTCTTCATTCATTATTTCTCAACATAACGAGGAAGAAACGAAACAATTAGAGTGCGGAGTTCAGCTGAGAAGCTGCTCTCAAAGCCAACCGTTAGAATAATATAAATATAAATGAATACATAACAAAATAAATTACAGAATTTTCAAAATGAATCTATGATGAAAAATTGTATAGAAGTTATCGAAATAATCACCAGAAAATAGGTTCGAATGTATTAGTGAACAGTAAAGTTCAATGCACTGAATAAAGTAGTAGTTACAACCAGACCAAATGTCACGTTGTCATAATAATGCAACTTCCGCCCAGAGAAAAACAATTTTAATCATTTCTGAAGATCATACAGAGTGAATTCTTTGAATGAATTCAACAGGTATCGAATTGTAGAGCTTAGCAGCATTATAGAAAAAGATTCGGATGAAAAATGACTTGGTATGTCTAGGAATTACTTATTCCTAATGCAAATGCTTGTTGCGGAAAGACTTCCTGAGTGATTGTTCAGAAAGTTTATCACTCAAATATGGCGGTAGTAGATAGTTTTCACCGGTTCTGGGTCTCCGCCCAAGGCCAGAGGAGTGCGTCCTTGGGCGGAGTGGCCTTGGAGGTGACCTTGGGCGGGAGTGACCTTGGGAGTGACCTTGGGCGGGAGTGGCCTTGGAGGTGACCTTAGGCGGAGTGACCTTGGGAGTGACCTTGGGGGAGGTGACCTTGAGATCGACCTTGAGGGAGGAGTGGTTGACGCTCTTGAAGACTGAGTCGACCTTGGGAGAGGGAGTGACCTCGTGTGATGTCCTTGAGAAGAAGGGTAACCTTGAGAGGAGAAACCTTGGGTGGAATGCCCGACCTTGTATGCGCATACACTCAATCGTTGTCGACCTTGTTTCCTATTGGAGGCATTTTAGTGAATTAGTGGGGTGTGAAACGCCACATGCCTAATTTCTATAAATACGTTCTCGCCGACTAACCGGAACACAGTTCTCGTAATAATATTGAATATTATACCTACCTAGAATAGTTTCAGTGTGCTAAGAGGTGATCTGTTTTGTGTAAGTACGTTTATTCATATACTTTCCAGTCCCCTTTCACCTTCGAGGAATAATGGCAGTAGCAAAAATTGATTTGGTCGCAATCAATAAAAAAATCAATGAAGATAATGAAATGATCAAGCAAATTTTAATTTCATCACTATCCCTCAATAAGTGTTACACAATCAATAAAATTTCCATATGTGGAACTAGATTCGGTAGAAGTGGTACTGTGATTCTGTATGATGAAGAGACTGAAGTGAATTTGAAATGTTGGCTACCGAAGAGAGTTGTAGATCAATTGACAGACAACGATATCGATGAGATGAATTCTTCTAATGGGTCTTATACTCTGACGTACTTGGGGCAAAGTGAGCCAATATTTGCTGGTGCCAAGACCAGAGCTCTCATTGAATTTGATTGCAAAAAAGTATGAATAATTATAATTAGCATTCAATAGTTAATTTTATTCGATAAATTTAGTATATATATTAGAAAGGGACATGGATATTATATAGTAAACCTTACATATCACATACTCACACTTACCACGTATTGATAATGATGAAAATTATTATTATGGTGAGTGATATGTCATAGAAATATCATGAATCGATAGCTGATACCCAACATCGATCACATGCGTAATATGTATTTATTTTGCAGGATACATAGACTTTTCCGATGAATGATCCAGATATGCATTATACCAGTCAATCAAGGCCGATAGCGGAAGATATCACCTCAGGTGTGAGGAGGTTGAAATGCCGATTTACTGAGTTGGAGCAGAAAACACTATATGAAATGAATCATGACACGAGAGTATGCTTCGATCAGGAACAAGTTCAACGACTCTACAATCAAGCTGATCAATACAAATTGGGCTTCCTACTATGTGCTCGATTCGAATATGGAAACATTAATGTTGAGGAATTCGTGGAAGCAATGGTTGAAGAGGACTTGGTGCAATTCCTTTATGAAATTTCAGATTTACTACCAAACCACCTCGTTCGAAGATATAGTATTGGTATAACTCCAGAGACGTCTGATGCTGAAGAATCCTCCTAGTTCATTGTATATATTGATGATAATTAATTGGAGTGTGAAATAAAGCAACATTTTCAACACATTCGGTTTTTATTTAGTATTACAACATATTTCGAGAAACAACCAATGTTATAAACATAAAAGTATTGACGATGCATTTCAAGTGTTTATATAGCACCCATCTGAATGGAACCGTCCAATGCACTATAAGTCAAATATGCTTCATGGAGAATCAGTGCGTAAACTTTGATGTGAGATGGAAACTTCGTTTTACTGTTTCGAACTCTAACTTGATGTCGACAGTTGAGGATTTCATTGCATCGGGTTGATGATTGCAATCTATGATGAATAGCGGGTTAGCGCGAAATTCTTCAATGCTCATTGTCGAGGTAGATGCCGAGCGGGGTAGTTAATCTTACCTGGTAGCTAGCTAGCGACGTACTGCCCGATCATGGGATCGCGTGGACCGGTCCAAGGTCGGGCCGTTTGCACTTCTTGTAAGTGCGGCGTTGTCGGATCAATTCCCGATAGCACATCCCCCTTTCACACAATGCACCTTGTAGTGCACCTATAAATGGTGGTTGGGGTAGTTCAGTCTGTTCGCCGGAACTTAACATGATATAGTCACTACGAGTCACTGCACTAAATCTAATATACATCATCGTCGAACCGAGGCACTCGACGTCACACTGATATGTATTTCAGTGGTGACATTGATCGTTTGAGTCATTGCACCTATGTCTCGAAGGTATGCTCACACGTCCTGATCTAGTCACATAGTGCCGCTGCTGTGGACGTTGTCGTATTTCCGGCTGCGGGCCTTGCTGCACTTCCGGTTGTGGACGTTGCTGCACTTCCGGTTGTGGACGTTGCAGCACTTCCGGTTGTGGGATTTGCTGCACTTCCGGTTGTGGGATCTGCTGCACTTCAGGTTGTGGGATCTGCTGCATATCTCCTTCATTTTCTTCGAGATTCCCAGCTTCACTTTCTGGAATGTCAATTTCTTGTTCGGATTCTGTGTGATAGCTTAGTTCTCCATCAATTTTCAAGAGATGAGCTCTATTTCTTCTGATTACATTGTTGTCGGACACTATGACGTATGATCTTGGTTCTGGGCCTATATTTGTTATTATGCCTTTTCGCTTCAGATTCGTGATCCATACTTTGTCATTTACTTTTAATGGAGATACACTTCTTGCTCTGTGACGCCTGTTGAAGTTTTTTGCTTGTGTTTGAAGTTCGTTCTCTCTTTTGTGTCGATATTCTTGTAGATAAGTCCATTTTGGAATAAGCAGATCTTTACCAGAGGGCAGGGTAGTGCGAATGCGTCTTCCCATTATCAGTTCTGATGGGCTCAGACCACAGTCTAGCTGGGTTGCTCTGTAGCTTAATAGTCCTAGATTGGGATCTTCGCTTTTTCGGATTATGTTTTTAGCAATTTTTACAGCTGCTTCGGCTTGGCCGTTTGATTGAGGAAAAGTGGGGCTGCTGGTTATGTGTTTGAAGCCATAGGATTCTGCGAAGGTTTTGAATTCGTAACTCTTGTAGCAGGGTCCATTGTCTGATCTGATTATCTCCGGGATTCCCCAACGAGCTAGGAAGGTTTTCAATTTTGTTATGACTTCACTGGCTGTGGAGGATCTGAGTGCGGCCACTTCAAAGAATCTTGAAAAGTAGTCAACCGCAACAATGTATGTGTGGCCCCCTATCTCAAATAGGTCAGTTCCTATTATTTGCCATGGATACTCTGGCACGGGGGTAGATTTCAAGGGTTCTACTGGTGGTGTTCTGTGTTGGAGGCATTTTTCGCATTGTGCCACTTTATTGTTTATTTGGCTGCTGATGCCTGGCCACCACACTGTATCTTTAGCACGACTGCGACATTTCACAGCTCCAAGATGTCCCACGTGAATCTGGCTCCAGATTTCCTCTCTATTAGCTGGAGGGATATAGACTCGGTTTCCTAGCATGATTAATCCATTTAGAGATACTAATTGTCCTTGATATTGTCCAAAGATACGATCTTCATTGGGCATGAATTTATTTGCCGGCCAACCATTGGAAATGTATTCCAGTAATCTCTTACTTTGTGGATCCATGCTTTGAGCTTTCTTGATCTGTTGCATGCGTGCGTCAAGGATGGGTAAAGAATTTTCAATGTGGTTAGCAAACAGTTCCACGTCCTCGATGAGTAGGGCATCTGTTCCTGGGTCTGTGGAGAAAATAGGTGCCCTGGAAGGAATTTCGATTCGAATAATCTTTTTATTTTTATTTCGTTAGCCACGATGCCACCATGTCGAGGTAGATGCCGAGCGGGGTAGTTAATCTTACCTGGTAGCTAGCTAGCGACGTACTGCCCGATCATGGGATCGCGTGGACCGGTCCAAGGTCGGGCCGTTTGCACTTCTTGTAAGTGCGGCGTTGTCGGATCAATTCCCGATAGCACACTCATCATTGGTTCACCCATATCTTTCCCATAGTAACTACGCTGGAAATTTTCGTATGCATAGTAGGCTACCGCATCCAATTTCTTATCGAAATCCAAGTTCCATCGTTCGTATGGATAAACTTCCGAATTCAGATACAGTCGAATATTGTTAACTCCTTCATGGGTGAACTGTGTGACATCCTTAGACCTGTCATCTGTGTTCGAGGAGTTTTGGAATCCTATGATGATAAATCGCGGTCGCTCGAGACTATTGGTTGTTTTAACGGCCCAAATATCGGAAGCTGTTTCACGGATTGTTGGTAGCTCATAAAGATCCCACATCCTGTACGCAATTTTTACTCTTGCAGTGGTGCTCCTATTCAAACGATTCAACAACTTCAATTCCTGTTCATCTGATGGTGCCACATGCCTTATCTTCCATTCGATTTTGTTAATCTCCAATGCGGCATCAACTTCTCCCATGTAGGAATTCTTGAATGAACGAGCTATAATGAGGATCAACTCTTGCTTGATATTTAGAATCGCTTTTTTATAGTCTTCAGCAAACCCCATCAGATATTTGAGAGGTAGCTTACCGCTAAACACGCGGCTAGCTTCATCTAAAATACACTGTTTCCCATTTTCTAGACCCCATCCAACTGTTTCTAAGGATTTTGCATTCACCTCACTATGGGAAATCATACTTTTCATGGTTGTGGTGATGCCGGGTTTTAGAATCATACATACTTGTTCACCACCCATCTCATAACGTATTTCATCGAAAAGGAATGCTAAAGCATTGTTGGATAAATAACATGTTTTAGTAGGATCATTCGGCGTGAATTTTCCCTCAATATAGATATAACTTTCTGAAATATCGAGTAGTAAATCTTGGAAGTTGACGGCGATCCTTATTTCATCCGAGTTCTTGAATGATGGTGAACCATATGGTTTGTATGTGTGTTCATGTAGACTGATCAGGGAATGATCCAAAATCGGCTCATCAAACACTTCCAATTGTGTGCTGCTTATAGACGATGTAACAACCATTATATCTAGCTAATTTTTTTTTGCTATTCAACGCAACTTCAGACCAATGGATTGCAAAAAGTGTATATCGTTTGCAGACAACCTATGTCTGACTCGTTTGGGTGGTTCTGTACGAATGAATACATCACCATTCTTCATTCTCTTCTTATTGATATTTTTACGGTAGGTGGCAGTTTCAGTTCTGAACATATGTTTTGATTGGTTCCCAAAACAAAACCCCATTTTCCTTCTGGAATGATGGATTGTTACGTAAGCTGCTTCAATTCCAATTTTACAATGATTTTTTCTCCACGAAAATTGACTAAGAGTCCGCTATCATCCAATATTCTCAGTGTAATGTTGTCGATGAACTGACACCCAGTCGGGCTGATGGGTAAATATATAATATTTTGCGGTTCCTTTGATAGCTTATATCCAGGCTCCACATCGCTGTCGAATTCATATAGCGTATGTACCTCCTCCCCATTGAGGAATGCTCCTGTGGTAATGTTACAATCCACCCTTATGAGGCGCACCTTTATTATATTCACAGGTAATGTGGATTCATGCAACACGTTGGCTGAATATTTTTTCTCCTCGAATCTCAAAACACTTGCTAAAGATGTGTCAGACGCCAAATCTATCTCATACATGCTACTCATTTCACATTTCATGGTATTATTATTAGCACGGAGAGAGAATACACCATCCATACTCCCTCCATTCAATGATATCCTACGTGCTATAGCCATTTGTAAAGCTTTATTGATCTCATCTATTTCATAAGCACCCGGTGGTATCGTAATCATTTCATGTGTGAAAGTAGGTCCGAACTTGATACCCAATCGATTATTCTGCTCATCTATATTGAGTATGGAGTTGTATGAGTAGAAACCATGCAATCCTAATCCATAGGTCTTCCTCGCATCGAGTTCAATAGGTGGATAAAATTTGGCGCTCAATACACTACGATCCCCAGAAATGGTGAAAGTTTGCGACATGATTAATCAAAGACTATGAAAACTGTGGCAAACATCAATGTATGTAGCAGCAGCAACAGCGACAACCTTATCGCTGCTTGCAACAATGAAGAATGCCATAGTTTTCGCAAAGTTAATTATTAATATCAAATTTATTTTCAGCTACAACATTTACATCTTTAATTTGGCAAAAACAGCAGAATAATCTTCTCGGCACTGGTCCATCATTAGCATCAACGCTATGTTGGCTGTCCTCCTCCTCCGTGAAGTGTTCCATACAAAATTGATATTTTGATATATCAGGATCGTTCTGTAATTGTTCAGGTAACTTTTCCCACACTAAAGCTATTTCATGTGGTGCGCAGCTGATGATGACTTCCTTCGGCATGTCGGCAAGTTGCGCTCTACTCATTTTCAACAAAGAGCGCACTCTTGAGTAAGCCAGTAATGAGTGACCCATTCGTTTGATGCTCTCTCTATCCATATTATAGTATTTTTCTCTAACTATTTGCGGAGAGAAACTTCAGGCACAAATGACCGCACCACACTGTATTATAATTTTGATGTCGCTCGTAGTTATATACGATTTTCATATCATTTGACGGTTTCGATCTCCTCTTCAGATACTCTATTAACTCCCTTGGGGGTGGTAAATCTCCATAGCTATCATAATATTCCACTACACTATTACGTTTCTTATATGCAACCCAGTGTGTGCCACTGCCTTTGCTGCTATCTAAATTCAGAATAGCTGATTCTATACGCATTGGCCCGGAATTGGGTAGGTTATCTCTCATAAATATACCTCGGAAGTGTGGTACTTTCATTCTATCTATCTGCTTTATTAGATCAATGTCTGTTAAAGCCCTCCGAGGTAAATCATCTAGTTTTTTGAATTATGGGGTTTTAGATAGATACCTAATCCCTTTCGATATGGCTTCAAATAGACTCCTTTACCAACTCTTCCGATTGCGATCGCCTCCATATGCTTATTGTGCCGATTTGCTTCGGAGAGTTGCTCTCTACTCTCTTTAGCGGATTGTATGGCTCGTGCTATACCGGCACTCCCCGCAGCCAAACTACCTAATGCCGATAAACCCGCGAAAATGGGTATAAGCGGGAGAATTCCACCAACCTTAGGAATTGGTATTATTCTAGGTGTTCGGATATTATTTTCTCCACCAGCAATTTTCACAAACTTTCGAGCAGCCCCAATCGCCATCAATGAAGTTTTGGCTAAGTTTTTGATGATAGCACTTTTTTTACCCATTCGGTTTACCACATTGCGAACTTTGTGAACTATACCAGAACCAAATGCGATTTTTCTACTACGCTTCGATTTCCTCTTCTTCCTCAACACTCTACGCTGCTTCACTCCATCACTGCACCCCATACCAAAACGCCTCTTCCCCTTCATGATATTGGTAACTAACCAAGATGCAGTCCTCTCCCCCACGTTAGCGTCCTTTGATTTGACCCGCTCCCAGGCAGCTTCTTCCAATTTTTTATCGGCTGAATGCCTGGCAGATAGGTCGCTTGGATATTTGAGATATGCAATATCGTCTTCTTTGCAGGCTCTATTCAATTGATTTATTCCTGGATCACCGCGAGCCAACCGTTTCTGTAGGCGTGTTCCCGGGCCGCAATATTGATAGCCTCCAGGAATGTGTAATTCGAATGGTAACTTATTGATTATAGTGTTAACAATTCCTCCACCACCCTTTTTCTTTCCCCGTCTGCTTCTTCTCCCTTTATTATTATTATTATTATTATTCTTTATCGATGTGCAACGTTTCGCTGTCATAATATAAATGAGTCGAACACAGGTTGTGATTCTTTATATACCATCTAACCACCATACAATGCGGATTGTTCAACAGACAGAAATATTCAATGTGGATAATTTCGATGAAAAAGTGGGATTAGGAAAAAACATCATACAACAACGTCGCCATGGGGTGTTATTCCCAAATACAATACGCGGGCTCATAATAGGTCCATCGAATTGTGGTAAAACGAATGTCATGATATCGTTACTCACCAATGAAAATGGTTTACGATTCGCCAATATCTACATTTACTCAAAATCATTATACCAACCCAAGTATGAATATCTAAGAAAAGTTTTGGAGCCAATAAAAGGGCTAGGGTTCCACACCTTCGACAATAATGTGGATATAGTGGAACCGGCAGACGCCAAACCTGATAGTATTTTCATTTTCGACGATGTCATTTGCGAAAAACAAGATGTAATAAGGTCGTATTCCTCCATGGGTCGACATAAGAGCGTGGATTGTTTCTATTTGGCGCAGACATATTCTAGAGTGCCTAAACAGCTTATTCGAGACAATTCTAACTCCATTGTGATGTTCAAACAGGATGACATGAATCTACACCATATTTTTTCCGATCACGTATCCCCAGATGTGACATTCAAACAATTTCAAGATATGTGTGCACAAAGTTGGACTGATAAATATGGATTTCTTGTTATCGATAAGGATAGTGAAATCCATGAGGGGCGGCGCTATAGAAAAGGATTCGATAACTTCATATATCCATAATATTTCAGCAGCATTCCATTCATTCAATCTCCAGAAGCGACAATGAACACATCTAATGATAAAAAGGTTGAAATGGCATCTGAAATTGACCTCAAACGAGAAATCGTTGAAGCAACTGATGCAGTGAGAAAAAAGTTCAAAAGTCTCAAGAGTGATCGTATAGGTAATCAAATAGTGCTGGAAAAAATGTATGAACCACTGATGAAACCATTGAACACAATTTCAAAAGCGGCAGCAACCTCTATGAGTAACCATATTCCAGCAACGACAATAAAAAGTATCACCAAACAACGTCGACCAACCATGATGAAACCTACACTCCATTCCACACCAATGTCGGGAATGAATCAAATTCTATGGAAACACCTGAAAGCACAATAAAACCACATAGTTTTTTCGCTGAAATTCCATCACGTGAAGAAGAAGGGAGATCTAATTATGTGACCATGATGGATACACCACCACCATCATCATCATCATCTTCACTCATGCCATTCGATAAAACACCGACTGGCAGCAAAATCATTAGTGGATTAGATGAACAGTTGAAAGAGCATTTGAAAAATTTGAAATCCAAAGACCCCAATTATGATACCACATATGGCGTTCGCATTGATCCTACTACGGGAGACATGATGATGGGTAACATGTAAATTCGTTTTCCTCATGGACAAATTGAATTATGGCGTAGTAAGAAGAAGAGTGTGATGTTTCCAGCTACATATGAATTATACAATCTTATATTCATGAAACATGTACCAAGATCTGTCGATGATCGAGACAGGCGATTATACGCTGATTTACTACAAACTAAAAGAACGCCATATAAGGATTACGATATACGCGAAGGCTTGAATGCTAGTACGAAATCAAAGAAATATCTACAAATAATCAAACCAATAATTAGCACACCGCCTAACATGAGGAGTCAGCAGCAGCGTAAAGTGAAAGGTGGTGGGGGAATAAAGCAATCAGAATCTATTAAAAAGATTGCTAGTAATCATCTGAAAGAGTACGTCTATTGGAATGAGGCTGCAGAATTAGTGGACCGCCTTCGACTATTATATGGGTCGAAAATGGCTGGTCATACTGGGCACGATAATGAAATAATCTCAATCATTGAGGAGTTACGTGAAGAAGGTATTGTGTATTGATACCATATATATAACCACAATTCAAAACAGCTAGACCATTAGTATATCAATGCGAACCAAAGAGATCGCAAGTGTTCGGAGGTTGAGAAATAGCACAATAATGGAAATAAGTGTGACCAAAAGACAGATTGTTGATGAATTACATAAACCTGCGAGGCGTAACTTTGCGAGAAGGAGAACTATAATAAAAGGTTTTGCAGACTTGTGGCAAATTGATTTGGCTGAGATGCAAACGTATTACAATGA